ACCATTCGGTGCCTACTACCCTAGTCTACAACTTTTGTATTGGAGGTTTTGTGAAAACTTCTAAGCTTTCAAAGTTACAAGAAAAATACCACAAAACTTTTTGACCGCGTTCTAATTGCCCCACGTGCCTCTATAATGAATGAATATTTAGATTAAAACAGAAAGTTTGTTCTTTTCTATAAAGAGAGATAAAGTTCTACACAAATATACACGAACACATAATAAAATTATATGAGACGAAAGAAAAATAATATCAAAGGAAAGAAAAGCAAACGAAATCTGTTTGATGACTACTGTTGAATGCAGTGTGCATACCGCGACGAGATCTATGCGCCGTACAACGTTGCAAGATGGCAATCAGACTGGCATTGTACTGTAATGTAGATTGCATCTGTATACTCAGATCAACTATGCTTTTATCGAAAACTTTCTATGTCCTCGATTTTAAATCGATCTACTTTCGGATGTTCCAGAAAAGAGGCAATATATCCAGAAAGCCTGAAAAAGAGACATCCGAATGACACAGAAATGAAAATAGTTGAAAGGTAGCTGTTAGCTACGATGACGTCATGGACAACGATATGACACATATGTCAATACGTGGACAGACAACGTATCAGTAGTGACACGTATATCGATGCTGTTTACTTATATATATATATATATGTTCTTGGTTTTTCATAACTTTGCTCGATAATAAGTATGGCACGTTTAGAAAAGATAACCATTCGAAAAGCTGCTGAGAGCGATCTGCCAAGTATGATACGAATTATGGACGAAGCTTTGGGAAATCCAACAATTGATGATAAGATGGAACAACGAGTGGAGCTTTGGTTAACGAGATTCAATAACAAGTTACAGTTCATATTTTATGTGGCTGAAGCCGACGATGAGAATTTAGTTGGTTGGTGTTGTGGCGGACCGACAATGGAATGCCATCAAACAGTTGCTCATCAAATCTATGATTGTGAAATAACACATATATTTATTCGTCAACAATATCAACATCGAGGTATTGGGCGTGAACTATGGAAAATTGTATGGAATGATATTCTTCTAAGATTTCATCCGAAGAATTTCGTTGTCTGGTCAGTTGATAACGAGCAAGCGCATCGATTTTATGTATCACTTGGCAGTGTACAGGCAGAAAAAAGGAAGTTCGGTGAACTGTTTCTAACAGCATTTATATGGAGCGCGCTTAAGCCGTTCGAATTCACAAATTTTCTAATATTTATATAAAAACTCAATTCATCCCATCAACAGAATCAACCTAAGTCGGGAAACTACGATCATAACAATCGTATACGACGAAAGGCGATTATCGTACGACCGTCACCGCCTATTTCCTTGTCCAGTTTTATTCTCTTATGTGGATTATGTTCGTGAAGAGGAGCTGTCACACTTTATCATTACTTCTAACGGCACGGCTATCATTCGTCCGTAATATACAGTGACTAAGATTAACCACTAAATTCTCTTTGCGTAAAAGTGAACATAATATGTTCAATGCGATGCGAAGCATAACCGCATTCTAGTAACAATCGTTTTATCTCGCCTAGAGTTTATATCACTTTGGGTAAAAATTTTATCAAGGATTGGAAGCACTGTGTCAAAACAGAGTCCTGTGGCTGAATCTGGGAATATGTCTTTTTCAGGCTTTCTGGATGTATTGTCTCTTTTCTGGTAATCCGCAAGTAGATTGATTTAAAATCGAGGATATAGAAATTTTTCGATAAAAGTATGGTTGATCTGAGTATACAGACGCAATCTTCGTTACAGTGTAATGTTACTTTCACAGCTGATCTCAGATGCATTGTTATTCACTTCATCATCTATATATGTGATTCCTATTATGCACTACTGTATTGTAGATATGCAGCAAAACTTGTGATACAAATGTTTCGCTTCGCACCGCATTAGCTCAAGTTTGGGCAACATTTTCTTCATAGTAAAAATCGGGGAAAACCACTTTTTTAAAGCTAATTTTCAATTTTTCAGCACAAAGAAAGTACCTCCTAAGTTTGAGTTTGGAACACAAAGTGTAGAAAATTTGATTTTCTAAACTTTATTTGCTATACTCAGTGTTGTACAACAAGATCTTCAAGATAAAACGCATAAACCACCATTTTTCAGTCTGAAGACCGGTTTCTAGAGACCCAACACTGGCAGAGAACTTAATGTGAGCTTACTCCACTTTATCCAAATACTATAGTTCTAATACAATAATTGTAAAATACGATTATAACGTGCATCTTTTCACGTTTATAAAGCACGATAAAATAAAATTAATCACCAAGTCTATAAAAATGCACTTAGCTAAATTCAACAGATGTAAAAAGAAACAGAGCGGACTTCTACGGACTGCTTAAGTCCAGGATATGCTACAAAGCTCAACATCAACCAATTTCCACATAAAACATCTCAATTAACATCTAATTCGTATATAAAGAGCTGATCAACGACACAACTCATATTTCTCGTGTCAACGTGAATCTACGCTTTGTTAAACACACATTACTTGCAATCGTGAACAAGAACTTAATTTTTATAAAAGGATCTCGATTATAAAATGAAGAACAATAACAAAAAGATAGAAATACCACATAGTTAAATTACAATATCCGACTGAGAGTAAATAAATAATGAGAAGATAACTACTTGGTTAAAAATTTCATAATAGCATAATAAAATAGAAACAACAAAACTAATGATAAATTAATGATAAAACAAATAATAATTATAGCTTCTTAAATATAGTCCAGTATGCGTAGGCTTGCGACAGACATTGGTAATCACTTCATTAATTTCCCTTTCACCAGTACCTCCAGCAACGACAGTTTATTATCAGATTACATTTTTGTATTGTTTACATGTGTTTTTTTTCTCCTTTGCTTAAAAGGAAAGAGAAAAATTTTTTGTCATGATCTGACTGATGATGAATTATACGAATGATTTCAAGTAAGCCGTGCCCATTTCTCAGAAAGTTCAACCGCTTACTACAAGAGAGATCAGACATAATCTGCGCCCGCGTCTTGCATATTCGAATATCCTTCAGCCCTGATTCCATCATGTTTTACTTTTCTTCGGGAACATGATGTAATCAAGTCTCGTCATAATGACAAGAAAAATTCTTGCAAAAAACTTCTTTTCTACTTCTTTGTCAAGGTCTTGGTCTTAAGAAAGGTAGAAATCTTATTTTTTCATCTCATGAAAGCTCGTTTCTTGCCACAAGAACACTAAAAAACACAACTTTTGTAGACAATAAAACTTATCTTGAATGAATTTTCTTATGACAGTTAGGATTCTGATTTCACCATGTTTTCTCTTCGCGAACATGATGCAATACATCTCAAAATTAGTTAGAATTTGAGCTCAAAATAAGTACACGCAATTCTATTCAC